CCATCCCTTAAAAAAAACCCATTCCTTCCAAAAACCCCATTCCTTCAAGAAACCCCATTCTGTCAAAAAAACCCACTCCATTCCTTAAAAAAACCCCATTGCTCCAAAAATCCCATTCCTTCAGAAAACCCCATTGCTTCAAAAAAACCCCATTTCTTCAAAAAAAACCCAAACTAGTCCATCAAAACCTCATTCCTTCCAAAACCCCCATTCCATCAAAAAACCCCATTCCTTCAAAACCCCCATTCCATCAAAAAAACCCAAACTAATCCATCAAAACCTCATTCCTTCCAAAAACCCATTGCTTCAAAAAAACCCATTCATTCAAAAAACCCATTGCTTCAAAAAACCCCATTCCATCAAAAAACCCCATCCCTTAAAAAAACCCCATCCCTTAAAAAAACCCAATCCATCAAAAAAACCAAACTAATCCATCAAAACCCCATTCCATCAAAAAACCCCATTGCTTCAAAACCCCATTCCTTCCAAAAACCCCATTCCTTCAAAACCCCATTCCTTCAAAAAACCCCATTCCTTCAGAAAACCCCATTCCTTCTAAACCCCACTCCCCCCAGAAAACCCAAGCCATAAAACCCCATTTCCTCAAAAAAGCCCAAACCAACAAAAACCCATTCCATCAAAAAAACCCTCATTTCATGCAAAAATCCCATTCTATCAAAACCCCATTTCCTCCTAAAAACGCCCATTCTATCAAAATCCCAATCCCTCCAAAAAATCCCAATCCATTAAAACCCCATTTCCTCAAAAAACCCCAATCCCGCCAAAAAAACCCCAATCTATCAAAACCCCATTCCCTCAAAAAAAACACATTCCCTCCTCAAAAACCCCAATCCCTCAAAACCCCATTCATAAAACCTCCAATCCCTCCTAAAAACCCCATTCTATCAAAACCCCAATCTCTGCAAAAAAACCCAATCAACCAAAAAACCCCAATTCATTAAAAAACCCCAATATATCAAAATTCCAATCCCTCCTCAAAACCCAATTCATAAAAACCCCAATCCCTCAAAAGACCCCAATTCATCAAAAAACCCCAATTCATCAAAAAACCCCAATTCCTCAAAAGACCCCAATCCCTCCTAAAAACCCAATTCATCAAAACCCCATTTCCTCCAAAAAAAACCCAATCCCTCAAAACCCCATTTCCTCCAAAAAAAAACCAATCTCTCAAAAAAATCCCAATTCATCAAAATCCCTATCCCTCCAAAAAACCCCATTCTATCAAAACCCCATTTCCTCAAAAGACCCCAATCCCTCCTAAAACCCCAATTAATCAAAACCCCATTTCCTCAAAAAACCCAATTCACCAAAACCCCAATCCATCCAAAAAACCCCTTTCTATCAAAAAACCCAATCCCTCAAAACCCCATTTCCTCAAAAAAAACCCAAAACAATCTCTCAAAAAAATCCCAATCCATCAAAACCCCAATCTCTGAAAAAAAAACTAATCCACCAAAAACCCCCAATTCATTAAAACCCCATTCCCTCAAAACCCAAAAACCCCCAACCTGTCAAAAAAACCCAATCTATCAAAATCCTATTACCTCCAAAAAACCCCAATCTATCAAAATCCCAATCCCTCCTCAAAACCCCATTCATCAAAACCCCATTTCCTCCAAAAAACCCAAACCCTCCAAAAAAACCCCAATCCATCCAAACCCCATTTCCTCAAAAAACCCAATCCTTCAAAACCCCATTCATAAAACCTCCAATCCCTCCTAAAAACCCCATTCTATCAAAACCCCAATCCCTCCAAAAAATCCCAATCCATTAAAACCCCATTCCCTCAAAAACCAAAAACCCCAATTAATCAAAACCCCAATCCCTCAAAAAAAACCTAATTAATCAAAACCCCATTTCCTCAAAAACCCCAATCCATCAAAAACCCCCAATCCCTCCAAAAAAACCCTTTCTATCAAAAAACCCCAATCCCTCAAAACCCCATTTCCTCAAAAAAACCCCAAACTCGCAGAAAAATCCCAATTCATCAAAATCCCAAATCCCTCAAAAAACCCAAAATCCCTCAAAAAAACCCCAATCCATCAAACCTCAGCATCCAGAGCTCCCTGAAATCCCATAAAATTCCTCATTTCCCCTTTTTAAATGCCCCAAATGATGAAATCTCCGGTTTAACCCCAAAAACATCCGGGAACTCCGGGTTTGGGAATTTGGGAATTCTGGGAATTCCCAGTGGGAATTTGGGAATTTGAGAATTCCAGGTGGGAATTTGGGAATTCCTGGTGGGAATTTGGGAATTCCTGGAGGGAATTTGGGAATTCTGGGAATTTCAGGTGGGAATTTGGGAATTTAGGAATTCTGGGAATTCCTGGTGGGAATTTGGGAATTCCAGGTGGGTATTTGGGAACTGCCAGTGGGAATTTGGGAATTCTGGGAATTCCTGGTGGGAATTTGGGAATTCCAGGTGGGAATTTGGGAATTCTGGGAATTCCTGGTGGGAATTTGGGAATCCTGGGAATTTGGGAATTCCAGGTGGGAATTTGGGAATTCTGGGAATTCCTGGTGGGAATTTGGGAATTCTGGGAATTCCCGGTGGGAATTTGGGAATTCCAGGTGGGAATTTAGGAATTCTGGGGATTCCTGGTGGGAATTTGAGAATTTGCGAATTCCTGGTGGGAATTTGGGAATTCGGGAACTCCTGGTGGGAATTTGGGAACTCCTGGAGGGAATTTGGGAATTCTGGGAATTTGGGAATTTCCAGTGGGAATTTGGGAATTCTGGGATTCCCTGCGCACTTTGGAGTGAGGATCAGCAAAGGCCCTGCCTGCATTCCCTGTATTAATTAACAATTGCTAATTAATTACTGATGGCGGGTTAATGAGGGCGGGCACACAAGCCCCACCATTTCCGGGGCCAGCAGTGGGAATTTGGGAATTTTGGGAATTCCCGGTGGGAATTTGGGAATTTTGGGAATTCTCGGTGGGAATTTGGGAATTTCCGGTGGGAATTTGGGAATTCTGGGATTCCCTGCACACTCTGGAGTGAGGATCAGCAAAGGCCCTGCCTGCATTCCCTGTATCAATTAACAATTGCTAATTAATTACTGATGGCGGGTTAATGAGGGCGGGCACACAAACCCCCACCATTTCCGGGGCCAGCAGTGGGAATTTGCCCATGGCCGCCCTTAATGAGCCGGCCCCAATTAGCGCAGCTGTTAATGACCCTCGGCCTGAGGCCTTCCCACCTCGCCAGCCCCAAACTGAAATCCCGAGGGGGAAACGGCGCCCCCGGCCCATCAGAGACCCCTCCCAGGAGCCTAAACCACCCTAAATACCCCAAAATGGGCCTGAATCCCCTCAAAACAGCCCCAAATCCCCACTATATGCCCCAAAATATCCCTAAATCTCCACTAAACGCCCCAAAATGTCCCTAAATGCCACAAAATGTCCCTAGATCCCCCCTAGATGCCCCAAAATATCCCTAAATCTGCACTCAATGCCCCAAAATGACCCTAAATCCCCACTAAATGCCTCAAAATATCCCTAAATCTCCACTAAACATCCTTAAATAACCCCAAAACAGACCTAAATCCCCTCAAAACAGCCCTAAATGCCCCAAAATGTCCCTAAATCCCCCCTAGATGCCCCAAAACGTCCCTAAATCCCCACTAAACGCCCCAAAATGTCCCTAAATCTCCCCTAAACACCATAAAATGTCCCAAATCTGCCCTCAATGCCCCAAAATGTCCCTAAATCCCCCCTAGATGCCCCAAAACGTCCCTAAATCCCCACTAAATGCCCCAAAATATCCCTAAATCCCTACTAAACATCCTTAAATAACCCCAAAACATCACTAAATGCCCTCAAACAGCCCTAAATGCCCCAAAATATCCCTAAATCCCCTCAGAACATCCCTAAATGTGCCCTAAGCACCCCTAAATTGCCCCTAAACATCCCTAAATCCCCTCAAAACAGCCCTAAATAACCCCAAACCAGCCCTAAATGCCCCCTAAATACCCCTGCAGACCCCCCCAACCCCAAAATGGCCCTAAAAACCCCTAAATCCCATCCAAATACCCCAAAATGCCTTCAAACACTCCTAAATCCCCTCCAAACATCCATATGGACCTTCCCACAACCCCAAAATGCCCTCAAACACCCCTAAATGCCCCTCAAACACTCCTAAATCCCCTCCAAACACCCGTAAATCCCCCTAAAACCCCTACAGCCTCTCCCAGAACCTCAAAAAGGCCCCAAAGATCCATACAGACCCTCCCAGAACCCCTAAATGCCCTCAAGCATCCCTAAATCCCCCCAACGCCCCTAAATGACTCAACACACCCCTAAATCCTCCCCAAACGCCCCCATAAAGCCCTAAATACCCCCAAACACCCCCAAATCCCCATAAACTGCTCACAGCCCCTAAATATCCCCCAGACCCACCCCCACACCCCTAAATCCCCCACATCAAGATCCCCAAAAACCCTTTTAGAGCCCCCTAAACCCCAAAACCACTCAAATCTCTCACACATCACTCAAAAAACCCCTAAAGCTCCTCGAACGCCCCTAAATCCCTCCCATAACCCCCTAAAAACCCCTTTAGCCGCACCCAGACCCTTGAAACCCCCTCAGATCCCCCCCAATCCCCTCACAACGAAGCACCCGCAGCCTCCCACCAGCACCGCCGGACCTCCCTGTATCTCCCCCGCTCCAAATCCACATCTCCCGCCCCAAATCCCCATCCCCGCTCATTCCCGGCACGCTCCGGGAACCCCCGACCCCCTCAGGCCTCCCCCGGTACCTCCGGCCCGGCCGCTCCCGGTACCGTCGACCCCGCCCGGTCTCGAAGCCCCCGCGGGCTGCCCCGTGCCGTGCCTGACGCGTGGGGCCCCCCCCGCCATGCCCGTATGGGCGCGCTGGGAGTCAGGCACGGCCTAGGACAGCCCGCGAGGGCTGTAAGGGCGGAAGGGTCCTCACGCTGTGCGCATGCGCAGTGCGCAAAGTGAAGGCATCGAAAGTCATGGCGGGGCCAGGCCCGGGGAGGAGGATGAGGAGGAAAAGGAGAAGGAGGAGGAGAAAGCAACGCGACGGGACGGGGTTAATCGGCTCTCGGTAAGTGCTCCCGGGCTGGCCAGGCTCGCCCGCAGTAATGGGGTGGTCGCGGGAGGTGTTGCCATGGGAACGGGGTGTTGATTCTGTGGGGTTTGGCTGGGGTTGGGTCCTGGTCGTGGTTCTGGTTGGGATTTTGGGATTTGGGGAGGGGACCGGGCAGAGGGGACCGCAAAGCGGGGGGGGTCTCAAGGTCCCCGAGGATCCCCGAGGACAGGCTCGAGGAAGGGCCGATGGAAGGGGGGAATTTCCTCCCTTGGAATTTCCCTGCTGGATCCGATCCGGTCCCTCCGGGAAGGGTTTGGGCCCATCCCCGGTGTCCCATCCCCGTGTCCCATTTCCAATGTCCCATCCCCGGTGTCCCGTCCCCGGTGTCCCATTCCAATGTCCCATTCCCAATGTCCCATTCCTGCTGTCCCATTCCTGCTGTCCCATCCCCAATGTCCCATCCTAATGTCCCCTCTCGGTGCCCCATCCCCGTGTCCCATTCCCAGTGTCCCAGCCTAATGTACCCTCCCGGTGTCCCATCCCCAATGTCCCATCCCCGGCGTCTCTTCCTGGTGTCCCATCCCCGGTGTCCCATCCCGGTGTCCCATTCCCAGTGTACCCATCCCCAATGTCCCATCCCATGTCCCGTTGTTGTCCGTGGGAGTTCCCGTTGGACTCTGCCCTGGCGACAGTGACAGTGACAGTGGCACGCGGCCCTGCCCTGGTGACAGTGACAGTGGCACACAGCCCTGCCCTGGTTACTCACCGTGCTCCCCTGTCCCAGAGCTCTCTCAGTTCCCTGTGCTGTTCCTCAGCTGCTTCCTGGAGGGACTTTCCCAATTCCCGGGGGTCTCCTCCTGTCCCAGAGGGTCCTTTTCCAGTACCTGAGGTTCTTTCCCCATTTCCCAGGTTTTTTCCCCATTTCCTGGGGCTCTTTCCCCATTTCCCAGTGTATTGTCTCATTTCCCAGGGTTTGTCTCATTTCCCGGGGTTTTTCCCATTTCCAGGGTTTTTTCCCCATTTTCCAGAGCTCTTTTCCCATTTCCCAGGGTCTTTTCCCATTTCCCAGGGGCTTTTCCCCATTTCCCGTTGGTTTTTTTTCCCCATTTCCCGTTTGGTTTTTTCCCCTGTCCCAGGGATGTCCTGGTGGCACGGTGCCCACAGTGACTGTCCCTGTCCCCATGCAGGGGTGCCCCAGGGGCGGGCAGTGCCCACGATGGCTGTCCCTGACTGTCCCCGTGCAGGGATACCCTGGCAGCGGGCAGTGCCTGTGCCGGCTGTCCCTGACTGTCCCTGTCCCAGGGATGTCCTGGTGGCACAGTGGCTGTCCCTGACTGTCCCTGTGCCCATGCAGGGATGCCCCAGCGCCGGGCCGTGCCCACGCTGACCTCGCTGTGCCTGCAGAACCTGGCCCAGCACATGCAGAGCCTCTGGGCCAAGGACTACAGTGACAATTACCTGGACGAGTACGACTTCCGCTTCCTCGTGGGGCCCTTCAACGACCTGGGTGAGCTCTGGGGGTGCCCCGGGCCACTGGGACCCCCGGGGGGGTGGCAGGGGGTGTCCCCAGGCCTCGCTGACCCCGCTGTCCCCCCCAGCCTGCGGGCTGGTGCAGGAGCTGCTGCGGCTGCTGGGGACGAGCCGGCGGCTGTCGCGGGCAGCGCTGCACCTGCTGCTGCTGCCACACCTGCGCCAGCTCAGCCTGAGATCCTGCCCTGCCCTGGCCAACAACGCCCTGGGGCACCTCATCGTGCTGCGCTGCCAGGTGGGCACGGGGCAGGGGCTGCGAGAGGGGCACGGCTGCTGTGGGTCAGGGGATGGGGCTGGGAGCGATGTCTGTGGGGTTGGGACAGTGAGGCTGGGTGGGAACCCCTCTAAGGGGATGGGAGAGTGGGACAGGGGTGCCCATTCTTTGTGGGGCTGGGGGTGCCCACTTTTCATAGTGCAGGGGGGATGGAGCTTGGGGTGGGTGCTCACCATCCATGGGGCAGGGGGTGACAACACTCTGGGAGTGCTGTGGTGTGTGGGGCAGGGGGAGTTAGGTTGGGTGTGACCCCCTCTAGGGGATGGGAGAGTGGGACAGGGGTGCTCATCCTCTGTGGGCCTGGGGGTGCCCATTTTCCATAGGGTAAGAAGGATAGAGCTTGGGATGGGTGCTCACCATCCATGGGGCAGGGGGTGACAGCACTCTGGGGGATCAGGGCTGTGGGGTAGGGGGAGTTAGGTTAGGTGTGACCACCCTCTAAGGGGATAGGAGAGTGCGCCTGGGGGTGCCCACCTTCCATGGGGTAAGGGGGATAGAATTTGGGATGAATGCTCACCATCCATGGGGCAGGGGCTGACAACACTCTGGGAGTGCCGTGGTGTGTGGGGCAGGGGGAGTAAGGCTGGGTGTGACCACATTCTAAGGGGATGGGAGAGTGGGACAGGGGTGCTCATCCTCTGTGGGCCTGGGGGTGCCCACCTTGCATGGTGTTAGGGGGGATAGAGCTTGGGGTGCTCAGCATCCACGGGGCTGGGGGTGCCATCATCCATGGGCCCAAGGGTTGGCACAGGGGGAGCAGACAGAGCCTGCCCACCCTCTCTGAGTCTTGCAGGGGGTGAGAGTGGCATCCGTGCCCCCCTGCCCGCCCCCCTGAGGCTGTTCCCGTGTGGCTGCAGGGTCTGAGCGTGCTGGAGCTGGGCGGCTGCGGGCGGCTCTCGCCGTCCGTGCTGGTGGACCTGGCCGAGGGGCTGCCCCGCCTGAGCCGCCTGGGGCTGGCCCACACCCAGGCCAACCTCCAGGTGCTGTCGGCCGTGGGCTCCTGCTGCCGCCACCTGCGGGAGCTCGATGTCACCGGCTGCAGGAAGGTGACACCGCGCGCCCTGCGCCACCTGGCCTACGACCCTGCCGAGCGGATCCCGGGCTGTCCCACGCTCCGGGTGCTGCTGGCCCGCGACCTGGAGCACGCCGGGGATGGGGACGCGGTGGCTGCCGTGGCCTTCGTGCTGCTGGCCCTGCCGTGCCTGGAGGTGCTGGCACACGGTGCCCTGCCGGATGCCCTGCGGTTGCTGCACTCGGGGGAGCTGGGTGGCACCGAGGACTCCGAGGGATTCCCCTCGCTGGAGGAGCTGGCGCGGGGCCGGGAGGCTGCAAAGGAGGGAGCCCCGCTCACGCTGCCCCTGCGGCAGCTGGAGGAGGTGGAGGAGGACGCCCTGAGCACCGTCCACGCCGTGTGTCCCCAGGCCCAGGAGGTCAGCGTGTGGCTTGGGGACAGTCCCGGCTCCTCAGGGCTCCGGGAGCTGCCGGGCTGGCGTCGCCTGTCCCGAGTGACGCTGGGCTGCTCCGGGCGGCACGGCCGGGCGCTGGCAGAGCTGCTGCCCCTGGCACAGGGCCTGGGCACCCGCCTGCGTGCCCTGACCCTGCACGGCTTCACCTGCCGGGACCCTCTCTCGCTGCCCGCCCTCCTCGCCGGCTGCCCCGGCCTGCAGAGCTTCAGCGCCGAGCTGGAAGTGCCACCGGACCCCCGCGCCCACCAGGAGCCCCCCGAGGAGGAGCCCCCCGAGGAGGAGCCCCCCGCCCCGGCGCCACGCTGGGCCACCGACCTGCTGCCCCGGGGGCTGCCCCAGCTCCAGAGCTTCTCGCTGAGCCTGGCCGGGCCCGTTCCAGCCGCACACGGGCCGGTGCTGAGCTCCACGCTGGCCTCGGTGCTGTGCGGGGCCCCGCGGCTGCAGACCCTGCGCCTGCTGGCGCTGCCCTTCCCGCTGGACTCGGTGCTGGAGCCGGCGCTGCCGGGGCTGCCGGAGCTGCGGGAGCTGTCGCTGGCCGGGAGCCGCGTGTCCCCCGGCACCGTGTGGCAGCTGCTGGGCTCCGAGGGGCCCCTGCGGCGCCTGGAGCTGTCCCGCTGCCCCGACATCCACCGGCGCGACTACGACAGCTTCCTGCAGGAGGTGAGGAAGCAGCGCCTGGAGCTGGACATCACCTGGGAGTAGCGCCGGGGTTTTTAATAAAAGCGTCACAGTCACTGGCCGGTGCCGTGTTGTCCCCTCGGCAGCAGCCAGTGGAGTGGGGTGACATCAATGGGGTGACATCCTGGTGGCTCAGCCCTGCTCCGAGAGCCCCGTCAGCCGCTCCGATGCCTCCCAGAGCTTCCGTGCCAGCGCGGGGTCGCGGGCGGCCGCCGAGGGCAGCGCCAGCCGGCAGCTGCTGTCGAAATATTTCCCGGTGATGCCCTCGGCCTCCTCCGAGATGGCGCAGAAGATGGTGCTGGCAGCGCCCTGCTCGGCTGACTGTGGGGAAATGGGGGTGAGGAGAGCTCTGGCACCCCCCTCCCACCCTGCTGCCCCCAGGCTGGGCAGGACCCGACCCCGCTCACCTTCATCAAGGGGCGGAGGAGGACGAAGAGCGCCCGCACGGGCCAGCTGAAGTGGCGCATGATGCTGGTGCTCACCACGCCCGGGCTCAGCGCGTTGGCCGTCACCCCTGCCAGGCCGCACCGTCAGCAGGGTGGGCACCCAGGGACCCCAAATCCCTCAGGGAGCAGCAGGAGCAGCCTCCAGCCTGACCTCAGCTGGGGCTCTGCCACCCTTGGGGGGTCCCAGCGAGTCTCTCAGACCCCCCAGCTCTGCCAGCAGCCCCTGAGATCTGGCACAGGGAGTTGGCACAGGGGATGTCCCCAGGGTGCCGCGGCCCAGCACCCACCTGTGCCCTGCAGGCGCCGTGCCAGCTCGGCAGTGAAGAGCACGTTCATCAGCTTGGTGCTGTTGTAGGCAGCGTCGTGCCCGCCCGGGCGCCGCTGCCCCGTCAGGTACCCGCCGTCAGCCGTGCCCACACTGTGCCGGAACGACGACACGTTCACCACCCGGGCGGGCGCCGAGGCCTTCAGCAGCTCTGTGCCAAGCAGGGCGTTGGTGTTGCGGTGCCATGTCACGGTTTGCCTCAGAAACCCCGGGTTCCTCCCTGATAATTCCCTGCCAGCTGTGTCAGTCTCCTCTCCTTCCCCCTCCCAGCACTGTCTGTCAATCCTGGCATTCCAGAAGGGCATCGAGTGATTGGGCAGATTCAAAAGATGCCCTCCACGTCCTGGGGAACATTGGGCCATCCAGGTGTCCTTTGTCCCTTAAAACCTCCTTCTTGGTGGCTCCTACCTTTCCCTGCTCCCCTTCCTCGGGTAAAAGAGCAACCACACGGTCAGGGAGCTCTGTTGGAGGAGTTGCTGGACTCAGAGGCCTGTGGGCCACAATAAAGCTCTGGATCCAAACCCTCCATCAGAACCGACTCCTTTCCTTCACCATCCCCTTAAAGCTTCTCCACCAGAGGTAAACCTGAGGACCACCAGAATTCCTGCGTGCCTGGACTTGCCTCCAAGCACCCACTGCAACATCCAGCCAGCCTAAAAGTGTCCCTGGGGTGAAACACCACACATCCAGCCAGCCAAAAAGTGTCTCTGGGGTGAAACACCACAGTGCTGCTATTTGGTTCGTGCCAGACCATCCAAGGCACATCCCGTCTGCTATATTAGTAATTATACCAATAATTACCAATTATTCATTGGTAATTATACCAGTATAGGCGGTGAGCGAGGGGGAGTCCCCAGAGCCCCCCTGACTCCCCCAGCCCCTGCACTCACCCAGGAGGAGGTTGGTGAGCAGGAATGGGCCCAGGTAGTTGGTGGTGAAGGTTTGCTCCAGGCCTTCCGACGTGATGGCAAAGGGCAGCCCTGAAAGGAGGGTGGCTGTGGAAACCCAGGGCACACAGGGAATGTTTCTCTGTCTGCTCTGGGGTGCCCTGACCCCCAGGGCAGCACTGACCGTGACCCTCACTCATGGAGAAAGTTTCCCAGGCTTCAAGATAGACTGGAACCCACAAAAGTGTGAAATAGATTGTAGAGAGCAGTGCAGGTGTATCACTTGGGGAGAAATTGAGGTTTGGGGATTTTTAGTGTGTTGTGGATGGAAGCAAGATGGAGGGCACAGGGTGTCATCCTGGGTTTCTTCTTCATGCTGCTTCTTCCTTCTTCTCCATGGGTTTGGGGGGCATTTTGGGCAGAAAAGTCCACATTGGGATCAGTTATTGGGTTAAAAGGGAAAATAATCCAGGTGTCAGCTCTTAATTGGATGGTTTAGTCTTAAAAGACCTTATAACAAGAGATTGTTGGCCATTTTGTGCCTTCTAATGAAAAGCTGCTGAACTCACAGTAGTGAGACTTTTACTGATAAGAAATAATAAACACCTGAGTCCAAACACAGACTCACAGAATAATCACAGAATGATGAGGTTGGAAGAGACCTCTAAGATCACTGAGTCCAACCTGTGCCCTCACACCTCAACCAGACTCTAGCCCCAAGTGCCATGGCCAGGCTTTTTTAAACACATCCAGAGATGGTGATTCTACCCCCTCCCTGGGAAGAGCATTCCAGTACTTTATTATTCTTTTGGTGAAAAATTTATTCCTAAAATCCAACCTACACCTTCCCTGACATAGCTTGGGACTGTGTGCTCTGGTTCTGTCAGAGACCGACCCCAGCTGTCTGCAACCTCCCTTCAGGAAGGTGTAGAGAGCAATAAGGGCACCCCTGAGCCTCCTCTTCTCCAGGCTAAACAGCCCCAGCTCCTTCAAACGTTCCTCACAGAGTTTGTGTTCCAGCCCCTCACCAGCCTTGTGTTTGAGCATCTCAACGTCCTTCCCAAACTGAGGGGCCAGAACTGGACACAGCACTCGAGGCGTGCCCTCATCAGTGCCAAGTACAGGGGCAGAATGACCTCCCTGGGCACACAATTCTACAGGGGCAGAATGACCTTCTTGCTCCTGCTGGGGACACCATTCCTCAGGCACAGAATGACCTCCCTGCTCCTGCTGGGCACACACCATTCCTCAGGCACAGAATGACCTTCTTGCTCCTGCTGGGGACACCATTCCTCAGGCACAGAATGACCTCCCTGCTCCTGCTGGGCACACACCATTCCTCAGGGGCAGAATGACCTTCTTGCTCCTGCTGGGGACACCATTCCTCAGGGCAGAATGACCTCCCTGCTCCTGCTGGGGACACGCCATTCCTCAGGCACAGAATGACCTCCCTGCTCCTGCTGGGAACACCATTCCTCAGGCACAGAATGACCTCCCTGCTCCTGCTGGGGACACACAATTCTACAGGGGCAGAATGACCTCCCTGCTCCTGCTGGGCACACGCCATTCCTCAGGCACAGAATGACCTCCCTGCTCCTGCTGGGAACACCATTCCTCAGGGGCAGAATGACCTCCCTGCTCCTGCTGGGGACACAATTCTACAGGACAGAATGACCTCCCTGCTCCTGCTGGGGACACACAATTCCTCAGGGCAGAATGACCTCCCTGCTCCTGCTGGGCACACACCATTCTACAGGCATGGAATGACCTCCCTGCTCCTGCTGGTCTCACAATTCTACAGGGGCAGAATGACCTCCCTGCTCCTGCTGGGGGCACCATTCTACAGGGGCAGAATGACCTCCCTGCTCCTGCTGGTCCCACAATTCTACAGGGCAGAATGACCTCCCTGCTCCTGCTGGGGACACAATTCTACAGGGGCAGAATGACCTCCCTGCTCCTGCTGGGCACACACAATTCTACAGGCACAGAATGACCTCCCTGCTCCTGCTGGGGACACCATTCCTGATCCAGGCCAGGAGCCATTGGCCTTCTTGGCCACCAGGGCACACTTCTGGCTCAAATTCCACCTGCTGTCGAGCAGCACCCCCAGGTCCCTTTCTGCCTGAACACTGGCCCCAGTTTGTAACATTGTAGGGGATTTTTGTGGCCAAAATGCAGAACTCTCACTTAGACTGATTGAACTCCACGCTGTTGCACTTTGCCCATCCATCCAACCCATCTCAGTCTCTCTACAGAGCCCTCCTTCCTTCCAATAGATCAACACCAGCTTAGAATCAGCGTCTCCAATGCCTTCAATCCAGACGGACAAACCGACAGCTGGTACCCCCACAGGGGGGCAGTGCCGCGGGCATCGGGACAGGCTCTGGACCCCTCTTGTGGCCGGAGGGTTTTGCCCGGCACCTACCGGTGACTCCGGCGTTGTTGACCAGCACGTCCAGGCGCGGCTCCTCCCGCAGCACGGCGGCGGCGAAGGCTCGCACCGAGGCCAGCGAGCCGGTGTCCAGCAGCCTCAGCAGCACCGCCGGGTTCCCGGTGGCCTCCCGGATCTCCCGCACGGCCGCCTGGCCCCGCTCCCGGCTCCGGCACGCCAGGATGGTGCGGGCATTGCGGCGAGCCAGCTCCATGGCCACGCACTTGCCGATGCCTGCGGGACACGGAGGGGGTGTGGGCTGGTCCCAGACAGGTCCCGCTGCTCCTTTGGGGCCCGTGCCCCCGCGTTTGGGCTGCCCCTGCCATGGCCAAAACCACCCAGCAGGAAATGGAGGGCGCTGGGGTGGGGATGGAGCACGGCACGCGTGGGGTCACTCGTCCCTGGGTGCGTGTGGACATGCCAGTCCCAGTCTGGGGGTCCCAGCATCTCCAGCAGTGGCAGGGGAACACAGCTGGGAGCGGTGACACCATCCCTGGTGTGACATGGTGGCTGTGCTGGCCTTGTCCGTCAGTCATTAACAGTCCCGAGTTAAGGAAGGTGAGCAGAGGGCACCGGGAGCACACTGTGGGTGCCCAGGGATGGCCACCAGCTTCTTCCGCAGCCAAAGCAGGGACTGGGGTCCCGGGCTGGCCAAGGGACACCCATGTCCCCTGCAGGCCACTCCGCAGCCATCGCGCCACCTCCCCCAGACGTGTCCCCGCCCTCCCTGCTCACCGCTGTTGGCTCCGGTGACAATCACTGTCTTGCCCGTCAGGTCAGTGGGACACTTGCGGGGGTCCCAGGGGCTCCTGCGGGTGGCCCGGAGCAGCAGGGCCAGCAGCAGGAGCAGGAGGAGCCACCACGGGGGGCTCAGAGCCCCCAGCAGCTCCATGGCCGGGCACGGGGTGGCGCTGGGGACAGAGGTCACAGCGGGACCTTTGCCCGGCCGGTGGCACGGCACGGCACGGCACGGCACGAGTCCCTCTGCTCCGTGAGCCGCTGGGAGCCGAGGGGGGACAGCAGAGTGGCTGGAGCAGGCAGGAAGGTGAGGCACGTGTCCCCTGTGCCACTCCGTTGTCCCCAGTGCCACCCTATCAGGAAATTACACCTCTTTTATTGCTCTTAATACCCTGTGGTGCTGTGAAAACACCTGGGCTTTTTTTTTCTCCACCAATAGTTTATGCCAGGCTGGACCCGACACGTTCCTACGGTGTTGAGTAACGCGGGAGGAATGTTCCTCTGTACTGTTGAGTAACGCGGGAGGAGTTGTACCAGCGCAAAAAACGGGGTCACAAATAGGATGGGGGATCCTGTTTTGTAGGGTCGCCAGGTTGGACCCTCGATGAGCGCTGAATTAAGTGGTGAAAGCACTCTGACGCTAATTAGGAACTGAAGGCCACGCCCACTCTATCATCTTCTAATGAGGAACCAAAATCCACGCCTGAGGCCTCACCTGGTGCCGAAAAGGAACAGAAAACCACGCCTGGTATCGCACCTCATGCTAATGAGCTGAAACCACGCCCACGAATATGCCAATGAGGGTCTCCATGAATGCCACTCGGGGGACATGTAAAGCTCCCTGTGTCACACCGCTGTCCTCGGTGCCACCTCAGTGTCCCCGGTGCCACCCCGGGGCTGCTCGCCCGCGCCACTTCGGACTCTCTGCAACCCCGGGGCGGCTGCGAGGAGGGGCGATGTCCCCCCCGAAGTCCCCTTCGGGCAGTGCGGGGACACTGCAGGGCTGGTCCCTGTGGGATGGCCCAGCGGGCGGGGACAGTCCCAGCGAGGGACCCCGAGCTGCGCCCGGAGCTCCCGGGAAGGCGGAGGAGGCTCCGGGCGGCCTCTGCCCGCCCCGTCCCGTCCCGTCCCCGTTCCCCAGGACGGGATCTCCGGGGCCGAAGCCACGCGTGTCACCCTGTGACATCGCCCTTATCTCTCATTTGGGGACAAAGAGGCTGCGGGGACCAGCCACGTGCGGGTGCGGGCACTGATGGCACCGTGGGCTCCGCAAAACTCATTTTAGTAGTTTTTTTATTTTACTATTTTATATTATTAAAAGATCCCCGATCTCCAGGAGGGTCTCCCGAGGCCACGGCCGGTTCCAGCCACTGCACCGGCGACACTCGGGGTGACAGGGATCCCCCCAGAGCGGGGCCGGGCGCCGGGAGGGGCAGCTCCGGGAGCCGCTCCGTTTCCAGCGGGCTGTCCTGCCACTCCTCCGCCTCTCCGTACTCCGAGAGCCGGCACTCCGGGTAGGGCAGGATGGGTTTCAGGTCCTTCTCCGCCCTCCTCAGCGCCTCGTCCCCCTGCTCGTCCCCGCCGTGCCCCGCCAGGGCGGGCCCGCGCCGCTCGCAGCGTCCCCAGCGCACGGTGACACCGGGAGCCAGGCGCACCGAGGCCAGCCAGGGGTCGCAGAGCTGCGGCTCGGCCCTGGCGGCCCTGGCGGTCGCCGGGATCACCTGCACGAGGGATCCCGGCAGGGGTAACCGGGTCCGCGATGCTCCCAGGCGCGGCCGCTCGGCCTCGGTGCTCACGTCCAGCACCTTCACCTCGGGCAGCACCCAGCGGGCGGCACCGCGCCGGGCACCGAGCCGGGGCACCCCGGGGCTGTGGGAGAGTCTGCGCGGATGGACGGACCCCGCGCTGGAGCGGGAGGATGATGATGGCGGCGGTGCCTCTTGCTCGCGGGGCTCCGGTGCTGCCGGCGCTGCGGGCTCCGGGGGCGCGACCGGCGGCGGAACCGGGGGCGCGACCGGCGGCGGAACCGGGGGCGGCGGCGCCTCCGGCGGGGCCGCCCGGGGCTGCGGGGGCCGCGAGGGTTGGCGGCGCCTCCCGGGGGCTCGGGAGGGTGGGCGCCTCCTCTCGGGGGACCGGGAGAGGCGGCGGCCCCGCTCGCGGGGCTGGGCAGCGCTGGGCGGCTTCGGGCGGGGCGGCGGCCGCGGCACGGGAGGCTGAACGGGAGGAGCGGCGGCGGCGGCTGCGGACCGGGACTGGCACGGCGGGCAAAGGGACCCGGTGTGGGTGAGGGGGTCGGGTCCCCACCCCGTGGGTGACAGCACGGAGCCGCTGGGACTCAGCCCGAGGGGTCTCGGGGAGGGGGGATCGGGGCACGTCTCACCTGGCCCGGGGACAGAGGAACACCCACGGCGGGAGCAGCGGCGGTGTCGCGGCCGAGGGGACCTTTGGCTGTCACCGGGCGAGCCCCGGACGGGAACGGACCGCGGGGCCGAGGGAAACCCACGGCGGGAGCAGCGGCGGGAACCTCACCGGGACCCACGGGCGGACTTTGAGCCTCTTCTGCCTCGGAGAGCTCCTCGGACGAGAGCTGGACAGAGGGGACCCGGTGCGGTGACACCGCCATCCCACGGCCCGGGCGGGCTCCGGGGGCCCGGGGAACCTCTCACCTCTTCCGAGGGCGGAGAGGCGACGGCGACAACGCCCGGTGTCCACGAGTCCCAGATGCCGGCCGGGGGCTCCTCGTCCTCCTTCCAGACCCCGTCCCGCTCGGGCTCCGGGTCCCCCTCGGGCTCCGGGACTTTTTCATCCCGCACCAGGAAGCGCCACTCGGCGACAAACAGGATGGCATCCCGCGCCCGCGCCACCGCGAACGGCACCCGCTGGGGACACAGCGCTGAGACCCCGCCCGCACCTCCCACCCCCCCAAAACCTCCCCAGATTAGGGGAGGGGGGGGTCTCTCACCTGCCGAGCCACGGCTGCCAGCGCGACCTCGGTCAGGACCCGCTCCAGGAGCTCGTCCAGGATGGGCTCCACATCCAGCGGCTCCAGGGGCTCCGGGGACGGGCTGGGCTGGATCGAGGTGCGCCCGGAGCTCCTGGGGGAGCCCCTCTTGGACTGCCGGGGCTGCGCTCGGGGCTTGTCCTGCTTCGATCTGGTGCCGGCCCCGCGGGATTTCCCCTTCTGCACCGGACAGAGACACGCACAGCTCCCGCTGCCCCCGCGGGAACGGCCCAGTGCGTCCCAGTATGGACCAGTGCACTGCCACGCAGCCCAGCGTGTCCCAGTATGGACCAGTGCACCGCCACGCAGCCCAGCGTGTCCCAGTATGGACCAGTACACAGCCACGCAGCCCAGCGTGTCCCAGTATGGACCAGTACACCGCCACGCAGCCCAGCGTGTCCCAGTATGGACCAGTACACCGCCACGCAGCCCAGCGTGTCCCAGTATGGACCAGTACACAGCCACGCAGCCCAGTGCGCCCCAGTATGGACTAGTGCACCGCCACACAGACCAGCGCGGCCCCTCAGCTCATCCCAGTACATCGCAGCTCATCCCAGTATGGTCCAGTACCTCCCAGCCCACCCCAGCATGGCCCCCCAGCTCATCCCAGTACACCCCAGTATAGCCCAGTGCATCCCAGTTCATCTCAGTACGCTCCAGTATAGCCCAGTACCTCTCAGCCCACCTCAGCATGGCTCCCCAGTATAGTCCAGTACATCCCAGTATAGCTCAGTAAATCCCAGTATAGCCCAGTATAGCCCAGTACCTCCAAGCCCACCCCAGCATGGACCCCCAGCTCATCCCAGTACAGCTCAGTACCTCCCAGTCCACCTCAGCATGGCTTCCCAGTACATCCTGGCTCATCCCAGTATAGCCCAGTACATCCCAGTGCATCCCAGGGCATCCCAGTACATCCCAGTACAGCTCAGTACATTCCAGTGCATCCCAGTTTAGCCCAGTACCTCCCAGCCCACCACAGCACGGCTCCCCAGCTCATCCCAGTACACCCCAGTACACCCCAGTATACCCCAGTATATCCCAGTACACCCCAACACCCCACATCCCCCATCCCCTCCCAGCCATCCCCCGCCCCATCTGCCCCGCTCCGCCGCCTCCCAGTCCCTCCCAGTCCCTCCCAGTCTCTCCCAGTCCCTCCCAGCTCTCCCAGTCCCTCCCAGCTCTCCCAGTCCCTCCCAGTCCCTCCCAGTTCTCCCAGTCCCTCCCAGTCCCACCTCGGCCATCTCCGCCCCTTTGGCGTCCCGGGCTCCACGGCAACGTGACGTAATCACCGTGCGCCGCCCGCCCTTGCGTCATCACGCCGCGACGCGTCTCCATGGCGGCGGCAAGCGCCGTGTGAGCGGGGAGAGCGGGGGGGGGAAACCGGAGGGAACCCGGGGGGAACCCGGGGGCGCTGAGGGGAAACTGAGGGGAACCGGGGGCACTGAGGGGAACCGGGGGGCACTGAGGGGAACCGAGGGGGGCTGAAGGGGAACCGGGGGTACCAGGGGGCGCTGAGGGGAAACTGAGGGGAACCGGGGGCACTGAGGGGAACCGGGGGGCACTGAGGGGAACCAGGGGGGCACTGAGGGGAACCGGGGGGAGCTGAAGGGAACCGCGGGGGAACGGGCCTCGGGGAGGGCGGGACGGGCAGGGCGGGGAGCTCGGGAAGGGCTCGGGAAGGGCGGGGGGTCCGTGAGGTGGGGCTGGGCTGGGGTCCCTGGCACAGGAGATTAGGCCGGGGGTTGTGGGGGGCGCTGGGAGGGGAGAGGGGTGGATCTGCCCCCAGACCCCCGGGATCTGCCCCCAGACCCCCTGGATCTGCCCCTTGCTCCTCTGGATCTGCCCCTCCCTCCCCTGGACCTACCCCCAGCCCCCTGGATCTGCCCCTCTCTCCCGTTGATCTGCCCCATCCCCACTTGGATCTGCCCCCAGCCCCCTGGATCTGCCCCCACCCCTCCCCTGGACCTACCCCCCCAGCCCCCTGGAGCTCCTGGAACCCCCCTGGATCTGCCCCCAGCCCCCTGGATCTGCTCCTCTCTCCCCTTGATCTGCCCCAGCCCCACTTGGATTTGCCCCCAGCCCCCTGGATCTGCCCCTCCCCATCTGAACCCATCACCAGCCCCATACCAGCCCCATCCCTGCCCCTCTTGAATCCTCCCCCATTCCCTTTCTATTCCCTCCCCACCCCTCAGATCCACTCCAGCTCCCCCAGAATCTGCCCCAAACCCCTCTGGCTGTGCCCCCCGGCACTGGCACCCCCCCGGCTGTGCCCCCCGGCGCTGGCAGCCCCGGTTTGCCCGCAGGCCGTACCGGCGGGAGCGGAGCCTGGCTCTGCGGAGCAGCAGCTCTGCCCTGTACAACAACCTGGCCGTGCTGTGCCCGCCCAGCCGCGCCCCCGCCTTCGGGGCCGTGCACGGCTCCAGCCTCAGCCTGCTGGCCAGCGAGGGGCCCCCCCGGCAGCTGCAGGCCAGGGGAGGGGGCTCTGCCCTCAGCACCCCCCTGCTGACCCAGGTGAGGGACGGGGACAGCCCGGGCCGGGTCCTGCTGGCAGTGGGCAGGGGGTGGCACCCGGCCCTGGCACCTCCCTGGCCCTGGGGGGGGGTCCTGTCACAGCCCTGGCACCTCCCTGGCCCTGGGGGTGGGGTTGTGTCACAGCCCTGGCACCTCCCTGGCACTGTGGGGGGGGTTGTGTCTCAGCCCTGGCGCTGAAATGGGGCGGGGGGTTCAGGATTCTGTGGGGTCCAGAGTGTGGGGATGGGAAAGGAGCCCCCTGAGGGGTCTGGGGGAATTTGGGGGGAACTGCAGCTTGGGAGAGGGGCTGGGGGGGTCCAGGAGGAGACTGGGGGGCTCTTGTTAGAGGAGAAAGGGTTTGGGGGCACCAGGAGGAGATTTGGGGGTTCCAGGATAAAATTTGGGGGCTTCTGTTCCAGGAGGAGATGTAGGGGCTCCTGTTCCAGGAAGAAGGGTTTGGCGGACTCCAGGAGGGGTTTGGGGGCTCCTGTTCCAGAAGAAGGGGTTTAGGGGGCTCCAGGAGGAGATCTGGGGGATTCTGTTCTAGGAGGAAGGGTTTGGGGGACTCCAGGAGGTGTTTGGGGGTCTCCAGGAGGAGATTTGGGGGCTCCAGGAGAAAATCTGGGGGCTCTTGTTCCTGGATGAAGAGTTTGGGGGGCTCCAGGAGGGGTTTGGGGGCTCCAGGAGGAGATTTGGGGGTTCCTGATCCAGGGGTGGGAGTTTGGGGTTCTCCTGGAGGAGGATTTGAGAGGTTTCCCCAGGAGGGGATTTTGGGGGTTCTCCAGGGGAAGACCCCCCAAGGGGTGGGGTTGGAGGGATGTTTTGGGGGTGCTGGCCCAGGAGGGGACAGGGGGGTCCCTCAGTGTCCCCAGGAGGGACAGGGGGGTCCCTCAGTGTCCCTGGAGGGGACAGGGGGGTCCCTCAGTGTCTCCAGAGGGGACAGGGGGGTCCCTCAGTGTCCCTAGAGGGGACAGGGGGGTCCCTCATTGTTCCCAGAGGGGACAGCAGGGTCCCTCAGTGTTCCCATGGGGGGACAGCAGGGTCCCTCAGTGTCCCCTCCGTGTCCCCACAGGCCACGTGGTGCGAGCTCCCATCGCGGGTGCTGCTGGTGCTCACGTCCCAGCGCGGGGTGCAGGTGAGGCCTGGGGGGGCACTGGGGGGCACTGGGGGGCACTGGGGGTCCCCCTGTCCCCCCAGAGTGTCCCAGCTGTCCCTCCATGGCAGATGTACGATGCTGATGGCTCCACCATGGTGTTCTGGCACGCCCTGGATGTCCCGGAGCTCCCGGCAGGTGAATCCCCCCCGAGCCCCCAGCCCTGCCCAGGCCACCTCTGACCCTGTCCCCAAGTGCCACCAGCCCAGGGCTGGGGGATCCCCCCAGGGAAGGGCACTCCACCCCTGCCAGGGTGGGAATTCCAGCCCTTTCCAGGAAGGAATTTTGCCAATATCCAACCTAGACCTCCCCTGGCACAGCTTGGGGCTGTTCCCTCTCATCTGTCCCTGTTCCCTGGTTGTCCCCTCCTCTTGAGTTGTGCAGAGCCACAAGGTCCCCATTTATCCAACCCTTCTGTCAAACCTTAAAACTTTGCTACAAATCCATTTCCCATGGCCCCTGATCCCCCTTTTCTCCAGGTTGAGCCCCTTCCCCACCTCCTGCACACCAACACCTCAAGATCTTCTTGTGACAGGCCCAAACCTGTGCCAGGACTGGGGTGTGACCCCCAATTCCTCTCCCAGACCTGTTCCCTTCCCCAGTTCCTGTCCCAGGGTGACACAAACCTGTTCCCTTTCCCAATTCCTGTCCCAGACCTGTTCCCTTCCCCAGTTCCTGTCCCACAGTGACACAAACCTGTTCCCTTCCCCAATTCCTCTCCCAGACCTGTTCCCTTCCCCAATTCCTGTCCCAAACCTGTTCCCTTCCCCAGTTCCTGTCCCAGGGTGACACAAACCTGTTCCCTTCCCCAATTCCTGTCCCAGACCTGTTCCCTTCCCAGTTCCTGTCCCAGGAGTGACAGAGACCTGTTCCCTTCCCCAGTTCCTGTCCCAAGGTGACACAAACCTGGTCCCTTCCCCAATTCCTGTCCCAGGGTGACACAAACCTGTTCCCTTCCCCAATTCCTGTCCCAGGGTGACACAAACCTGTTCCCTTCCCCAGTTCCTGTCCCACAGTGACACAAACCTGTTCCCTTCCCCAATTCCTGTCCCAGACCTGTTCCCTTCCCCAGTTCCTGTCCCACAGTGACACAAACCTGTTCCCTTCCCCAGTTCCTGTCCCAGGGTGACACAAACCTGTTCCCTTCCCCAGTTCCTGTCCCACAGTGACACAAACCTGTTCCCTTCCCCAGTTCCTGTCCCAGGGTGACACAAACCTGTTCCCTTCCCTTCCAGCACATTCCGTGTTTGCCCGAGGCATCGCCGCTGCCGGCGGCCGCTTCATCTGCGTGGGTGAGCCCAGGGCGTGGGCAGGGTGGTGGCCCTGGGCTGGCCCAGCCCCTGCTGACCCCCCTGACCCACAGGGACATCCTTTGGGGCCGTGCTGGTGTTTGACATCCCCCCAAAAGGGACCAACGTGACGCTGAGCGAGGTCCTGGAGCAGCACCGGGATCCCATCACCGACATCGCGGCCGAGCAGGGCCAGGCCCCGGTATGGGGGGAGAGGGGGACCCTAAATCTCATCAGGGACATCTTCCACTGCCCCAGGTGGCTCCAGCCTGGCCTTGGACACTTCCAGGGATCCAGGGGCAGCCACACCCTCACAGGGAAGGATTTCTTCCCAAAATCCCACCCAAATCTCCCCTTCTCCAGCAAGAAGCCATTCCCTGTGTCCTGTCATGCCATCCTTTGTCCCAAATCCCTCCCATCTCTCCTGCAACCTCCTGGAAGCTCCCAGGGCAGGTCCCTGCAGACTCACCAGCCAGTTTCCTCCCACTCAGCACTTTCCCTGATGAGTCACTGAACTTTCCTTGCTCTGGGATCCCCAAGGAATTCATCCCCCAGATGCCATTCCCGAGCTGCCGTGTCACCGTGGGGACACGGAGCTCTTGTGTCACCTCCCACTGCCACCCCGGGCTCTGCTCCCAGGGTTCCCAGGGCTGCACTGGGGCATTCCCAGGGCCGGGAGGAGCCGGGAATCCTCACGGAGGGAGGGAGGGGTGCCCTGATCCTTCCTCGAAATCCACCCTGGTGTGGCCGCGTGGGCAGGGCCGGACGAGTTCCAACGGAGCCGCCCCCGGGCGCTGCCGGCCCGGCTCCCGGCCGGGACCCGTCAGCGCTTGAGGAGCTGTCCCAGCTTGTCCCGGTGCCCGTGGGACAGTGCCACCCCAGAGCTGGGGACACTGCCCGGTGTCCCTGAGCCACCTCTCCCCACAGGACGGGGCTGGGGACCTGGTGACAGCCGATGACTCCGGGACGCTGTGCCTGTGGAGCAGCGGGGAGGAGTTCACGCTGCTCGGGAAGATCCCGGGATCTGGGTGAGCGCCGGGGATGCCGCGGGGTGCTGGACACGAGGAGGGGACACCCCTGCGGTGGTGACACGTGGCCCTGTGTCCAGCTGCACGTGCTCCTCAGTGGCGCTGTGGAACGGGATCGTGGCCGCGGGCTACGGGAACGGGCAGATCCGGCTCTGGGAGGCGGCCTCGGGGCGGATCCGCGCCCAGGTCAGCGCCCACGCCCGCTGGATCTACGCGCTCGACCTGGCACCGCTCACCGGCAAGGTACGGGGGCACAGCTGGGGGCACAGCTGGGGCACACTCAGCATCCCATGCTGGCATCCTGCCCAGTATCCCAGCCTGCATCCCACACTGACATCCTACCTGGCATTCCAACCTGAAATGCCAGCCTGGCATCCCACTTTGAATTCCAGTCTCAAATCCCAACCTGGCATTCCAACATGAAATCCCACCCCACATTCCACCTGCCATTCCAACCTGAAATCCCAACCTGGAATTCCAACATGAAATCCCAATCTGGCATTCCAGCCTGAAATCCCACCCTGGCATTCCAACCGGGCATTCCAGTCTGAAATCCCAACCTGGCATCCCACCTGGCATTCCAACCTGAAATTCCAACCTCAAATCCCAGCCTGGCATCCCACTTTGAATTCCAACCTGAAATCCCAACCTGGTATTCCAACCTGGTGTTCCAACCTGAAATCCCAACCTGGCATCCCACCTTTAATTCCAGTCTGAAATCCCACCCTGGCATTCCAGCCTGAAATCTCAACCTGACATCCCACCTTGAATCCCAGCCTGGAATCCCAACCTGGCATTCCAACGTGGTGTTCCAACCTGACATCCCACTTTGAATTCCAGCCTGAAATCCCAACCTTCACCCCATCCACCCCACATCCCACCTGGCATTCCGCCCTGAACTCCCACCCTGATATCCCGCCCCAGTGTCCCACGCTGCCAGTGGCACTGCCACCTCCGTGGTGTCCCCACTGTCCCCTGCTCCCCTGGCAGCTGCTGTCGGGTGCAGAGGATTCCTTTGTCCACGTCTGGAAGCTCAGCAGGAACCCGGACACCGATGACATCGAGGTCAGTCCGGGCTTGGGACAGGGACACAGGGCTGCTCCACGGGGACAGGGACGTGGCCCTTGGAGCTGTGGGAATCCTGGAACTCGGGTTGGAGTTGGCTCCGCCGCCCCGCAGGTGCAGCACTGCCACGCCGAGTGTGTGACAGACACTCAGGTGTGCGGCGCCCGCTTCTGCGACCCCGCCGGGGACACCTTCGCTGTCACCGGCTACGACCTGAGCGAGATCCTCTGCTACGGCCCCGCCTGAGCCGCGGCTGCTGCCGGGATAACGGCAACGCCGGGAACGCCGGGAATGCCGGGACAATCCACCGGGAATGCCGGGACGCTCCCCCTGGGCGAGGGCTGAGCACAGATCCCCCCCCTCCCTGCAGCTCCGGCCGGGATCCCCCCCTGCCCCAAGCCCTCCCGAGGGCTGGGAGCGGCTCCAGCAGCCCCGAGGGGATCCTCCCATGGCTCCCACCGGCTCCGGCATCCTCCCGTGGCCTCCCGCCCTTCCCGGAGGGTGGCGTGGCTGGGAACGGAGCCGGCTCAGACGGGAGGATCCCGGGAAACCTGTGCTACCTGCTGCTCCGGCCCGAGAGCCCGGCCCAGCGTCCCAGCGTGCAGCATCTGCCAGGCACAGCTCCTGGGGAGGGGAAAAAATGGGGGAGGGAGGCCAGGAGGAGGACATGGGGGACCTGGGGCATCCTGCATCCCAACCCCCCGGGATCCCAAATCCCCACGGGATGCTGCAGTCCCATGGCCACGGGCCAGATGTTTGAGGCCCCAGCTGTGCTGCGGGGCTGGAAACGGCAGCAGCAGCTGCAGCGGGACCCCAGGGACATCCCTGGGTCCCCTCCAGCCTTGACCGTCCTTGACCCCCCCCACGGGAGCTGAGGTGACCCCAAGCTCTGCTCCCAGGGAGGGGGGAATGGGGGGGGCCCAGCCCTGGAGCTGGGGGGGCTCAGCCTGGGACAGGCCCTGAGGTGGGGGAACCCCCCAAGCCCACCCCACCCCTCCTGCCGTGCCGGGGACCCCCCCACCCTGAAGGTCCCACTTGTGTCCCCCCATTTCTGTTCCCCTCCCCCCAGTAAATACACCCCAGTGAAGCCCCCCCGTGTCACTCCTTCCTGGGGGGAGGACTCGTGTATTGGGGGGCCCAGCAGGGTCTGGGGGGGCCCTGCAGGGTTTGGGGGGGCCCAGCAGGGTTTGGGAGGCCCAGCAGGGTTTGGGGGGCCCTGCAGGGATTGGAGAGGCCCAGCAGGGTCTGGGGGGGCCCTGCAGGGTTAGGGAGGCCCAGCAGGGTCTGGGGGGGCCCTGCAGGGTTTAGGGAGCCCAGCAGGGTTTGGGGGGCCCAGCAGGGTTTGGGGGGGCCCAGCAGGGTTTGGGGGAGCCCTGCAGGGTTGGCAGGGCCCAGCAGGGTTTGGGAGGCCCAGCAGGGTTTGGGAGGCCTAGCAGGGTCTGGGGGGGCCCTGCAGGGTTTAGGGAGCCCAGCAGGGTTTAGGGGGGCCCAGCAGGGTCTGGGGGGGCCCAGCAGGGTTTAGGGGGCCTAGCAGGGTTTAGGGGAGGCCCTGCAGGGTTTGGGGGGGCCCAGCAGAGTCCAGCTCCGTTACAAAAAGCTTTATTAAAGGTTAAAACAGCCGCTGCTGAGGTGGGGGGCCCCGCTCCGGGCCGGGTAGGGCCCCGAGGCCGGGGTGGGGGCGGCCCCGCTGTGCTCCTGGGGTAAAAAAGTGTAAAAATGGTTGTGCAGTTCAGCCCGGGGGCGGGCACGGTGCTCCCCCCCTCACTCCGGGGTGGGGACACATCCCGGGGACAGCGACAATGGCACCACGCCCTCGGGACAGGGACAATGATCCCCCCCCCCCCCCAGTCCAAGGCACAGAGATGAGCCGGGGGCTCTCGCAGCCACACAAGCACCCAGGGACCCCTCCCCGCGCCCACCCACCCACCCAGCCCGCCCTGCTCACAGCTTGGCCCCCCCCGCCCCACGGTGAGGGAGGAGGGGAGAAAATACAGCACCAGAGAGCCCTACGGGGGTGGGGACCCCCCAGAAAAGAAAGGGGGAGCGGCAGAGCCCCCGCTCCCCGCGCACCCCCAGCCCCAAATACTGCTCGGTCAGAGGTAGCACCAGCGATGGCCGCGGCCCTGCTGGGTGGGGGGGCCCTGCCGGGGGCAGGGGGCTCAGCACGGCCCCCCCCCCTCACCGGGGAAAGGCACGGTGGGACCGGGGGGCTGCGACCCGGCAGAGCCTGTAAACAGCCGGGGAGGGGGGGTAAACAAGCCCTTGGGGACCCCCACCCCGGCCAAGCCCCCTGGTTCAGGGTGGGGAGGGGTCCCAGGGCTGAGAGCCACAGCCCGGGGCAGGGGGGGTCCTGGGCCAACCCCTGTGTTGAGTGTGGGGTCCCTGGGGCTGAGGGTGGGGGTCCCGAGCCCTCAGCCCAGCACAGGGACCCCCAGCCCTTCATGGGAGCCCTGGGCCCAAGCCCCCCCTCAGCACAGGGACCCCCAGCCCAGAGGAGCCCCCCAGCCCTTTATAAAAGCCCCAGGCCAATGGCCCTCACTGCACACAGGGACCCCCAGCCCAGCTGAGCCCCCCAAGTCAAATGTGGGGGTCTCGGGGCCTGAGCCCCCAGCCCAGCACAGAGACCCCCAGCCCAGCCAAGCCCCCCAGCCCCGAGCCCCCCACTCACCACAGGGACCCCCAGCCCAGCTGAGCCCCCTCACCCTGCATGGGGACCCCGGGGCCGAACCCCCTGCTCAGCACAGGGGCTCCCAGCCCTCCCGAGCCCCCCAGCCCCACACGGGGGTCCCCTCCCCGAGCCCCCCGCTCAGGACACGGGGGGTGAGGGTCTCCAGAAGCACCACTTGCTGCGGGGGTGCTGCTTGCGCTGCAGCTGCTCCTCGCGCTCCCGCTCCTTCTTGGAGCGCAGGTACAGATCCTCCTCCTTCAGGTACCACACCGGGGGCCAGCGGTGCCGCTCGAAATGCGCTTGGTTCTCTGCGGGGACATCCCGGGGCTCAGGGCACGGCCGGGGACCCGCTGCCCTCCCCGTGCCCCCCGCTCACCCTCTCCGTACCTGGGGACATGAACTTCATCTCGCGGGGGAAGCGGCGGCACACGCGGTTGTAGTTGGTGCAGATGTAGTGCAGGCACCACGCCGCCAGCTGCCGGGCGTTGTGGAACTGGGGAGGGATTTGGGGGGGTCACCCCATCACCTGGGAGTCTCTGTGCCCCCCCCGGGGGTCTCCAGCCCCCCCATACCTGCGTCATCTCCAGGTAGATGATGACCTGCTCGTCGATCTCCACGCGCTGCATGAAGGCCCGGAGCAGCTCGTCCACGGCGTATTGCTCTGGAAAGGGGGGGAAACGGGGGCTCAGGGGGGGTCACACACGGGGGACGGGCCCCCCCGCGCTTACATAAGGACAGCGAGTGACACACGGGGACGATCGATCCGTCCCCGCGGCGGCAGCGGGGTATTGGCAGGTGACGTCAGGGACCGCGGGGGCGCGGGGGGATACCGGGGGAAGCGGGGCGGGGCTCACCGGTGAGCGCCTGCAGGCGCGGCAGGCACAGCCGGTCCGTGAGGATCAGCAGCTCCATGGCGTCCAGGTCGGGCGTGGGGGTGAAGACCCCGGTGTAGAGGAAGTCGAGGACGGCGCGGAGGCAGGCGCAGTTGGTGCCGGGCAGCGACACCTGTGGGATCCGGGGGTTGGGAGGAGCTCAGAGCCACCCCTAAAGGGGGTTGGGGGAAAGGGGGACCCTCCTGGCAGTGCCTGAGCTGGCACAGCCCTGGAGAAGCCCCCACAACCCAGCACAGCTCCCTGTGCAAGAGGGAACCAGGACACACGTGTCCCTGGGCCTGGGGCTCTGAGCAGCCCCCTGACCCCGACCAAAATGCCCGCCCCGCCCCCCGGAGCCACAGGTCCCGCCTGGTCCCCACCTCGCTGGCGTAGCTCTCGCGGAAGCCCCCCCGGAACATGGCCCTCATCCAGTCACAGCCGGCGATGAGCAGCGGCTTGTGCGCCGGCACCGCGCCGTCATCCACGAGGAACACCACGTCTGGGGACAGGGACAGCTCAGGAGGGGACACAGCCACCCCCCAGATATCCCTTGTGCCCCTCAGACCAGGGGCAGCCACCCCTGGGACACTGCAGCCCAGGGACAGCCACTCATTGACCACCACTGTCAAGAGGACAAAAATCCCTTGGACAACCTTCCATGGGGACAGCCACCCCTCAAACACCACAGCCTTGGGAACAAGAAACCCTTGGACACCCTTTCCATGGAGACACCACTGCCTTGGGGACAAGAAACCTTTGGACACCCTTTCCATGGAGACACCACTGCCTTGGGGACAAAGAAACCCTTGGACACCCTTTCCATGGAGACACCACAGCCTTGGGGACAACCATCCCTTGGACACCCCATCCATGGGGACACCACTGCCTTGGGGACAAGCATCCCTTGGACACCACCCTGAACTGCCACTCCACCCCAGCAGCACCTCCATGACTGACTGGGACGACCCCAGACTCCAAAGACCTCCAAAGAGGTGGAAGGGGCTCAGGCTGACCATAGCCCCGTGACCCCCCTGGCACCACGAGAAGGTGACACCATCTAGAGGTGACAGTGGTGACCCTCCCGTCCCCACAGCCCCCCAGCCCACCCCCTATACCTGCAAAGACGCCCTTGGCCAGGCACTCCTTGACGCGGTTGGCGCGGCGCACGTGGAAGGCCTTGGTGATCTCCTGGTTCATGAAGCTCTCCTGGTTGAGCTCGTTGGCCACCATCATGCGCAGGTCGAACACCTCCAGCAGCTCTGCCACGGCCCCCACCTGCCTCAGGTCTCCATGGGGCCTCTCCAGCTTCCCGGTGTACAGATATTCCAGCACGGCGCGCAGCGGCTCCGGCCGCACGCCCCGGTCCATGGCCACCACCGCCATCCGCCGCTCCCGCCCTGCCACCGGGTCGGCCACCGCCTCCCAGCGCAGGCTCAGGAAGCCGCGGCCCCACGATGACAGGTCACGGGTGTCCCCGTCCCCCTCGCCGGGCGGCTCCTCCAGCGTGAAGAGGTCGTAGAAGCGGGAGCAGGCGGTGGCCAGGTAGACGCGGTGGGCGAAGACGCGGTGGCCGCCCTGCAGCTGGAAGACGACGTCGGCGCAGAGCGGGGCCTGGAACAGCGCGGCCGGGCCCCCCCCCAGGCCCGGGGGGGCGTCGGGCACCTGGATGAGGGGCGGGGGGGGCTTGGGGGGCAGGAAGGGCGCCTGCAGCAGCGGCCGCTGCATCTTGCGCAGGTGGGACTTCCAGAACTGCAGGTGGCGGCGGGACACGAGCGCGGCGCGGATGGCGTTGTCAAACACGTCCTTGACACCAAACTGGGCCACCACGCTGGTCTCGTAGTAGGGCACCCCCAGCTCCTGGGCCACCTCGTGGCCCCGCTCCGGTGGAAGGATGTCCGAGGGCTTGATGGGCCTGGGGGGGGACGGACAGGGTGGGGGCTGAGGAGCGGGTCCAGGGCAGCCCCTCCTCGTTCCAAGGATGCTGGGAGGTCTCATGGCCATGCCAGGGGGTGCTGGGAGGGTGGCCCCTCATTGTGGGGGTGCCAGGGGGACCTCCCAAGCCAGGAGTGCTGAGCAGGGCAGAGGTTCCACCCCACAAGTGCTGTCAGAAGCCCTGACCCAGAGAGGACCCCATTCTCTGGGGAGATGACACACCCTAACAGGGCGGTGACAAAACTGGGGGTCCCCATAGCAGCACAGGGAGGGGTCCCCACTTTAATGGGACTGGTGATGACACACTGAGGTGTCCCTGTCCCCGCGGGGCTGGGGGGTGACGCTCTGGGGGCTCACTTGGCCAGCGGCCGGCGCGCGCGGTTGACGGCGTCCAGGTCGGCGTAGCGCAGGTCCAGCTGGCAGCCCACCAGCACGATGGGGGTGCGCGGGCAGAAGTGCTTGATCTCGGGGTACCACATGGTCTTCACGTGCCGCAGCGAGTTGGGGTTCGCCAGCGAGAAGCAGAGCACCACCACGTCCGACCTGCGGGGGCGAGGGCAGCGCTGTCCCGCTGCCACCCGCTGCCGCTCGGCGTCCCCAAACACGTCCCCAAACACGCCCAGCTCCGGCGGCACCCGCGTCCCAGCCCCGCCCCGGGACGCTGTCCCCAGCCTGGAACCCCCCAGGAGCCTCAGGACCCCCTGAGAGCCCCACAGGCACGGGAATCCCACAGATCCCCACAGGCACGGGAATCCCACAGATCCCCTGGGAACTCCAGGGCCTCTGGGAGCCCCGTGACAGCGACAGGGGACAGGAGGGACCCGACGGGATCTGGCTTCGGGTCCCCACCGCCGGCCAAGCCACGGGCTGCCCCAGCTCGGGTGGGCCCCGTGGTGCTCCTGAGCACCCATAGGGGGGTCCCAGGGGGGTGCTTGGGTGGGTGCCAGCCCCAGCACCGGGGACATTCCACGCCTCCTGTCCCCAGTCCCGCCCAGCACCCAGCGTGGGGCGGCCGCTGCCATCCCAGGGAGTGAAAGGTGCCAGGGGACCTGGGGGGGTGCCAGGATACGCGGTGGGGGGTGCCAGGGGACATGGGGGGCTGTGCCAGGGACACACAGGGGGTGCCAGTACCCCCAAGTCCCCGGAGCAGCCGCGTGGCCCCGGGCCCGGGTTGTTTTTAGTCCGTGCCGGGACGGGACGTGACCGGGAGGTGCCGCTGGAGCCGGGCCCGTGTCCCAGACCAAGATAGCCGCCACCGGCCCCCCCGGGGCCCCCGGCCAGCCCCGGGGCCACCGCGAGCCACGGGGACAGGGCCCCCCCAGCCCCCCCATTGCCGGCGGGCCCGGGGAGATTAGCGGTGCCGCGGGGCTGGCGCGGGGCGGCGGCGATAAGAGCCCGGACGTGCCAGCGGCCACGGGAACCGGCTGTTTACAACCGGGAGGCCACGGGAGATCTGGGGGGGCCCCTCCTGCTGCCAGCTCAGCGCCCCCCGAAAGGATTCCCGCACCACAAGAGCCCCCCTGGAGCCGCCCCCCACCCACAGCTCCGGAGGGGCCGCGAGCAGCCGGGTCCCTGCTCGGGGCGGGGGCTGCGGGGGGTGCAGTGCTGGGGTCACGGTGCCCCCAAAGGTGTGTCCCCAAAGGAGGGGGATGGGGTTTGGGGTGCCAGAGCTGCTCCCCGGGCGCTGGCAGGAGCCCAAGGGGCTCCTTTGGCTCTGTGCATCCCGGGATGGGCAGGGCTTGCGCTCGGGTGCCGGGGGTGGGGGCTGGGTGCCGGTGACAGCAGCCGGGGTGCCGGTGGGGGTCTCGGGGTGCCGGTGGCGGTGCCGGTAGGGGGTGGGGTTCCGGTGGCGGGTCGCGGTCCCACCTGCCATAGGCGAAGCGCCGGTCTTTATGGTGGTCCCCAAAGGTGTCCCAGAGGCGCAGGGAGACGCTGACCTCGTCCACCACATCCCGGGAGCGCTCCAGCACCTGTCGGCACCGGGAACGGCACCGGGAACGGCACCATCACCGACCGCCCCGCCCGGAACCACCGGGACCACCCCGGTGTGCCCCCGCTACCCCCTCCCGGTTCCCCCCTCGGTGTCCCTTGCGGTACCGACTGCTCCCGGGTGCTCGGTACCCCCTTTTGTGCCCCCCCCCCCCGCCGCGGTGCCCCTCCGTGCCGGGCGATGCCCGGTGCCCGGTGCCCCCGGGAACGCCCCTCCCGCCGTTCCCCCGCTCGCTCGGTGCCCGGCGGTGCCCGCGGCCCTCACCTCCTGGCAGACGCGGTACTGGTCGATGGCCCACACGGTGGGCACGTGTGTGGCCAGCAGCCGGTACTGGCTCAGCGTGGCGTTGCAGGCGCGGGCGCAGATCAGCCGCGTCTTGCCCACGGCGTTGTCGCCAACCACGACGCACTTGATGGTCTCGACGTTGGGCCGCTCGTAATCCACGTCGGGGTCCATGGGGCGCGGGGGGCCCCGGGCAGCGGAGCGGCCCCGCTCAGCGCCCCCCGCCCGGCCCCGGCCCGTTACCGACCCCCGCCCCGCCCGCCCCGCCCCACCCCGCCCAGCAGCCAATCAGCGCGCGCCTCCGCGGCACGCCCCGCCCCGCCCCGCCCCGCCCCGCCAATCCAGCGCGGTGCCGCCCGCCTGGCCCCGCCCCCCGCGGCCCCGCCCCGCGCGCGGACAAAGGAGCGCCGCCAGGGGGCGCCGCAACGCCACGTGACGGCTCAGCCCCCTCGGGGCCACGCCCACACCCGCGGCGGAGGCCACGCCCATTGGGCGGATGCATTGGTCACGCCCCAATGAGGGGCCACGCCCACATGGGCGGGGGGCGGGGTCGCGACAGCAGCGACAGCAGCGACAGCCGCGATAGCCGCGACAGCCGTGACACGAGGGACACCTGTGACAGCAGTGGCATCAGTGGCGCCAGGGACACCAGTGACAGCAGTGGGACACACCAGTGAAACCAGTGACAGCAGTAACACCAGTGGCACCAGTCAAACCAGTGACACCAGTACAACCAGCACTACCGGTTACACCAGCCAAAGCGGTGACGTCACTGACAGCAGTGACAGCAGTGACAGCAGTGACAGCAGTGACACCAGGGACACCAGTGACAGCAGCGGGACACACCAGTGAAACCGGTGACAGCGGTAGCCCCAGTGGCTCCAGTCAAACCAGTGACACCAGTACAACCAGCACTACCGGTTACACCAGCCAAAGCGGTGACGTCACTGACAGCAGTGACAGCAGTGACAGCAGTGACAGCAGTGACACCAGCAAAACCAGCAAAACCGGTAAAACCAGTGACACCAGTAAGAGTGACACCAGTAAAAAGTAACACCGGTGACACCAGCAACACCAGTGACACCAGTAATGCCACTCACACCGGTGACACCAGTGACACCAGTGACCCCCAGTGACAGGGGTGACAGGGCTCGCCACACACTGGGCTGGGCGTGTCCCTGGGCCCAAGATCCCATTTTCCAGCATTTTTCTCCTCCCCGGGGATTTGGGATTTTCCAGCCGCGGTGCCCAAATAAGGGAACGGGGAGAGGCTTTGGGACAGGAGCCGTGCGGGGACGGGCCGGGCCAGACACTGGGCTGGGAATGTCCCCAAGACACCCCCGCCACCCCCTTCATGGTCGAGGGGGACCTGGTGACTCCTCCAGCCCCCAAAATCCCCTTTCCTGGAGTAAAAAGGGAATGGGGGAGAGGCTCCAGAGCCTGAGGAAAGGACGGGGGGACAGTCTGGGGACCCTGATGGTGGGATGGGATCCTGGCACCGCAGCCACATTCCAGTGCTGGAGCCAGGCACACGGCCCAGCGTGGGCCCCTGGGACCTGCCCCACGTCCTGCGGTGACATCTGTGTCCTGCTCTGGGATCCTGGGACATCCACTGGCATTCCAGAGTGGGATCTTGGAACCTGCGTCCATGCCCTGAAATGGGAATCTGGCACAGCACCCTCATCCCAGTACAGGACCCTCATCCCAGTACAGGATCCCCATCCCAGTACAGGGACCTCCATCCTGGTACAGGGAATCTCATTCCAGTACAGCACCCCCATCCCAGTACAGGACCCTCATCCCAGTGTGGGACTCTCATCCCAGTACAGGTCCCCCACCCCTGTACAAGGACCCCCATCCCGGTATGGGATCCTAATCCTGGTACAGGACCCTCACCCCAGTACAAGACCCTCATACAGGGACCCCCATCCCAGTACAGGGACCCTCATCCCAGTATGGGACCCTCATGCCAGTACAGGACCCCCATCTGGGTACAGGGATCCTCATCCCAGTACAGGACCCTCACCCCAGTACAGGACCCTCATACAGGGACCCCCGTCCCGGTACAGGGACCCTCATCCCAGTACAGGACCCAGGCCCAGTACAGGGACTCCCATCCCAGTATGGGACCCTCATCCCAGTACGGGATCCCCATCCCAGTATGGGACCCCCATACAGGAACCCCCATCCTGGAACGGGATCCCCATCCCAGTTCGGGACCCCCGTCCCGGCACAGGATCCTCATACAGGGACCCCCATCCCGGTACAGGACCCCCATCCCGGTATGGGACCCTCATCCCGGTGCGGGACCCAGGCCCGTTCCCCGCGTCCCAGCGCTCCCAGCGCCGCCCGTCCCGTCCCGTGCCGGTGCCTCCCGGCCGCTCCCGCCCCCGCCCCGCCCGGTGCCGCCCGTGGGCGGTGGAAAGTGCCGGGGGGGTGGCGGGGGAGGGAGGGGCGGGCGCAGGGCGGCGGCGGCGGCGGCCCCGGGATCGGGATCGGCCCCGGGATCGGGATCGGCCCCGGGATCGGGATCGGCCCCGGGATCGGGATGGCGGGGCCGGGGCTGGAGCGGTACCGGCTGGCGCTGCTGGCGGCGCGAGAGGACGTGGGGAACCCCCGGGCTGGGACCGACTGGTGAGAATGGGACACCGGGAGAGGGAACGGGAGCCGGGAATGGAGACCGGGAACGGGGACGGAAGGGAGGACGGGGAACAGGGCACCGGGAATGAGGAGCCGGCACAGGGAACCGGGAATGGAGACGGGAACGGAAGAGGGCACCGAGACTGGGAACGGGCACTGGGACAGGCACCGGACACAGGACCGGGAACGGGAGCGGGAACGGGCACCGGCACGGGCCGGGGCGTCGGGGGCGGGCCGAGAGGCACCGGTACCGGTACGGGCACCGGGACGGGGCTCCGGGGCGCACCGGGGTCTGGGCCGGGGGGTGCCGGTCCGCGGGGGGGTCCCAGGACTGAGCCCGCCGCGCTGGGAACCGGGAGCCCCAGCCGGTCTCGCCCCGTCCCGCCCGCTCCCTCCCGGTGCCGCCGGGCTGGGAGCGGCGCCGCCGCCCGGGGCTGGGGCAGGACGGGCCCGGGGGGGCTGCGGGAGCGGAGAGCACCCCGGGCTGCGGAAAGGGGGGTTCTGCCCGGCGGCACCGGGGGAACGCGGGTCCCGGGACGGTCCCGGGCTGGGGGTCCCGGGCTGGCCCCAGTTCGGTGCCGGTGCCGCGGGGCCGGTGTCCCCCAGAACCCCCATCCCGGGGTGGGGGCGACGGCACCGGGGCTCACCGGCCTCGCAGCCCCCCCGGCGTCACGGGAGCGCCCGTCCCCGTGGCCACCGGCAGCCCGGGCATTGCCCTCTGCCCCCGGAGCGCGGCTGGAGCCGCTCCAGCGCCGGCTCCTCCCGGGCGCCCTCCCGGCCGCGTGCCGGGCTCTGTCCCGCCATGTGGCGCCGCAGCCTGTCGCGACATGCCGTGACACGCGTGACGCGCCCCGCCGCGCCGCGCTCCACGCGTGCTGCCGGAGCCGTGCCCAGCCCCGAACCGGAGCCACGCGGGAACAAAGAGGGGCAGAGCCGCCGGGAATGCCCGCGAGGGGTGGAACGGTCCCGCCGGGATGGGGCCCCCCGAGCCCTCCCAGGGCCGGGCGGGGGTCCCGCAGCGCCGCACGGGGGGGGTCGCTGGGGAGGGGGGGTTGTGCCGCTCCGGCGTTTCCCACATTCCCATTGTCCCGGGGGCGGATGCTGCCGGCGGCACTTCCATGAATTCATCCCAAGCCGGTGGCACGAGGGACGCGGGGGGTGCCCGAGCCTGGCAGGTCCCCCCACTTTATGTGACAGCCGCTGTGACCCCCCCACCCTGACCCCCACCCTGAGCCCCTTTCTCCCCCCAGGGCCGTCTTTGGCTATGAGAAGCACCACGATCTCAAGCTCCTGGATTCCGGAGGTACCGCGAGCGACGCTGCCGGGCAGTATTGGGGAGGGGGGGGTCCCCGAGTTTCCCTGTACCCCCTCTGACCCCCCCTCATTACAGCCGGGGGGCCGGATGAGCTCGCTGGAAAATTCTCTGTGGGCAGCGTCATGTACGGGCTGTGCCGGGTCCCCGATCCCGGCTCCGGCACCCCCAGGATCGTCCTTATCAGCTGGGTGAGTCCTTATCAGCGTGGGGGGGGCAGCTCGGGGGGACCCCCGGCCGGGACCCCCCCGGGCTGAGCGATCCCTGCGGTGCCAGGTGGGGGAAAAGGTGCCGGAATCGCAGCGGGCGGCGTGTGCCGGGCACCTGCCGGCCATCCGGAGCTTCTTCAGGGTGAGTGGGGGGCACGGAGCCCTCGAGGGGGTGCTGGGGGGGTGGATCGGGGTCCTCGCCACCCCAAGTTCCCCATTCCTGCCCCCCTGTCCCCCCCCCATCCCGCCTCCCCGACCTTTGCCTGTGCCCGGGCGCATTCCTGGCGCTGCTGACTCAGCCGCGCTTTCCCAGTGCTCCCAGTCTTGGCCGCCGTGCCGGGGCTGTGGTTGGGATCCCTGCCCCCCCCCCCCCCGGTCCCGTCCTCACGGGGGGGGTCCCGTCCCGCCCCCCCCATCCCCCGGAACAGCTTCCGCTGCTCTGTGTGGGTCCGGGATCTGGATCCGGCCCCACATCTGGATCCGGCCCCACATCTGGATCCAGTCCCACATCTGACACGTCCGTGGGAATTGTGCCGAGATTCCCAGGGGAGGGTGGGCCGTGGGAGGGGTGGCACTGTCCCATCGTGTCCCGTGCCGGTGGCAGGAGGCCACGGCCGTGATCAGCGCCCGGCGCCCCGAGGAGGTGACGCTGGAGGGGCTGCGCCGAGTGCTGGCACAGCTGGAGCCCCCCGCCCCTCGCCCTCCCAGGAGGACCCCCCAGGACCCCCCGGAGCTGGTGGTGAGTGGGGGGCGATGTCCCTGGGGGGCGGTGGGTGCTTGCTCGCCCTTCCCGGGGCTCTCTGGGGGTGTTGGGGGGTTCTGGGGGTCCCAGCCTGTCCCCCCTGTGCTCCCCAGGGCACGAACTACCGCAAGACCAACCCGGCCCTGGAGCTGCAGCGCACCCAGCGCGATTCCTTCTGGGAGCAGGCTGAGGTGAGGGGTGGGGGGGCTGGGGAAGGGCTGGGGGGTCCCCCGGTGTCCTGGGGACGGGGTCATGGCTGCGGCCTCGGGGCAGAGCCCGGGGGTCCCAGTGCCGAGCTTGGTGGGGGCCCGGTGCCACTGTGGGGTGCAGTGGGGTCCCGGTCCCGGCCCAGAGGTCTGTGGGGGTCCCGGTGCCACTGTGGGGTGCAGTGGGGTCCCGGTCCCGGCCCAGGGGTCTGTGGGGGTCCCGGTGCTGACGCTGCAGGGGTCCCACTGCCCATGGGGTGGGAGTCTCAGTCCCAGTGTCGAGCTCCGGGCGGTTCTGGTGCCAGAGCTGGTGCGGCGGTCCGTGGGGTCCCGGTGCCGGTGCCGGTACCGGTGCCGGTGATGGCAGCGCGATCCCAGCGCCGCTCCTGGTGGGGGCCGGGTGAGTTCCCGGTCCAGCCGCCGGTGCCGGTTCCCGGCGCTGATCCCGGTGCGTGCGCAGCGCGAGGAGCAGCAGCGGAAGGAGCAGGAGAAGCAGCGGGAGCGGGAGCAGCGGCGGCGCTGGGAGCGGGAGCGCATGGAGGAGGAGCGGCTGCAGGCGGCGGAGCGGGAGCGGCGGCTGCAGGAGCGGGAGCGGCTCATCGAGGAGCGGCGGTGAGGGGCAGCGATGGGCTCCATCCCTGCCCCAGCCCCGTGTCCCCATCCCTGCCCCAGACCCGTGTCCCCATCCCTGCCTCAGCCCCGTGTCCCCATCCCTGCCCCAGACCCGTGTCCCCATCCCTGCCCCAGACCCGTGTCCCCATCCCTGTCCCAGACCCGTGTCCCCATCCCTGCCCCAGCCCCGTGTCCCCATCCCTGTCCCAGACCCGTGACCCCATCCCTATATCCCACTGGTGTTTCCCATCTGTGTCCCATGTCCCATTCCCTTGTCCCTGTCCCCATATCCCACCGCTGTTTCCCATCTATGTCCCATCCTGTCACATGTCCCATTCCCACATCCCACTGGTGTTTCCCAGCCTGTCCCATGTCCCACCCCCGTGCTCCCATCCCTGTCCCAGCCCAATGTCCCCATCCCCGTCCCAGCCCAATGTCCCCATCCCTGTCCCATCCCCATGTCCCCATCCCTGTATCCCACTGGTATTTCCCATCTGTGCCCCATCCTGTCTCATCTCTCATTCCCATGTCCCCATCCCTGTATCCCGCTGGTGTTTCCCATCTGTGTCCCATCCTGTCACATGTCCCACCCCGTGTCCCCTCGGTGACGCCCCCCGTGCGGCCCCGCAGGCAGGAGCAGGCGCGGCTGGACGCGGAGGAGCGGAGGAAGGAGCAGGAGCGATGGGTGAGCGGGAAGGGGGCAGGAATGGGGCGCTCAGGGGGGATCGGGGGGGGCCCGTCCCAGCAGGATACAGGGCGTTCATCCCGGGCAGTCTGGGCTTCATCCCAGGGGGTTTCAGGGGGTGCATCCAGGGGGGTCAGTCCCAAGGGGTTCAGGGAGTTCTGGGCGTCTGTCCTGGGGGATCTGAAGGGGTTCATCCAAGGGATCTAGGGGGTCCATCCTGGGGAATCCAGGGGGTTCATCCTGGGGGACTGAAGGGATTCATCCAAGAGGTCCAAGGGATCCATCCTGGGGGATCTGGGGTGTCAATCCTGGGGGATCTGAAGGGGTTAATCCCGGGGGTTTTGGGGGGGTCCATCTTGGTGGATCTGAAGGGGTTGATCCCAGGGGATCCGGGGTGTCCATCCTGGAGGATCTGGGGTGTCCATCCCGGGGGGATCCGGGGTGTCCATCCTGGGGGATCTGGGGTGTCCATCCCGGGGGATCCGGGGTGTCCATCCTGGGGGATCTGGGGTGTCCATCCTGGGGGATCTGGGGTGTCCATCCTGGGGGATCCAGGTGGGTCCATCCTGCGGGATCTGGGGTTCATCCCAGGGAATCCGGGGTGTCCATCCGGGGCATCTGAAGGGGTTCATCCCGTGGGATCCGGGGCTCCATCCCAGGAATCCGGGGCTCCGTCCCTTGGGATCGAGCGGGTCCATCCCAAGGGATACAGGAGATCTGCGGCAGGGAGATTCAGGGTGGGGCTCTGACCTGGGGAGGTGTGAGGGCTCTACCCAGGGCACCCAGGGCTCCATCCCAAGGGATCCCTCAGCGTTCCCATCGCTCCCGCAGGAGCAGCAGCAGCGGGAGCAGGAGGCGGCCGAGCGGGAGCGCGGGGGTCGCACCGGGCTCAGCGGGACGGCGGCCGTGAGTGCCGGGAGCGGGTCCCTCCGTGTCCCCGGGGGTCACAGGGGCACTGGCAGGGCCGTGGTGCCCCACGGTGCCCCGTGGCACCCCCGCTGACCCCCCGGTCCCGCAGGAAGCCGCCATCCTGGTCTCCCAGCGCACCCAGAACCCCCGGGAATTCTTCCGGCAGCGGGAGCGCTCGGGGTCCACATCCACATCTCCCCTGGCCGGCAGCACCCCCGGTAGGTGCCATGGGCGGCTTGGGGGGCACGGGGGGCTCTGGGGGTCCCTGCTGAGCCCTCGCCCCCGCCAGGTGCCCGCCGGCCCTTCCTGCGGTACCAGCGCAGCCTGACGGAATCCGCCTTCATCTTCCGCCGGCCGGAGCCCCCCCAGACCCCCCCGCCCGGCGCCTCCCGGGGGGCACCGCCCGCCAGCCCCCGCCGGCCGCCCGCGGGGACAGCGACACCCCAGAGTGCCACCAGCGGGACCCCCGCCAGCCCCAGGGGGAGGGACACCCTGGGGACGCCCCCCAGCCCAGCCCGAGCAGGGTCCCCCCATGCCACCAGCCCTGTGGGGACAGGGACCCCTCAACGTGCCACCAGCGGCACCCCCGTCAGCCCCATGGGGACAGGGACACCCCATGCCACCAACCCTCTGGGGACAGAGACCCCCCAATGTGGCACCCTGGGGACCCCCCCCAGCCCAGCCCGAGCAGGGTCCCCCCTTGCCACCAGCCCTGTGGGGACAGGGACCCCCCAAAGTGCCACCACCGGGACTCTCCACAGCCCCCTGGGGACAGGGACCCGTCCCTCTGCCACCCCAGGGAGCCCCCCCAGCCCTGTGGTGACGGCCACCCCCCAAAGTGCCACCACTGGGACCCCCTCCAGCCCCATGGCAGCGGGGACCCCTCCCTCCGCCACCCTGGGGACCCCCGATTTTGCCACCACCAGCTCAGGGTCCCCCCCTGCCATGCCTGGGCCCCCTCCCAGCCCCCCCCGCATGGGGGTCCCCCCTGTCCCCTCCGGGCCGGGGTCTCCTGAAGGCACTTCTGGGCTCCAGCCCCTCCCTCCTTGCAGCACTCCGGCTTTGGGGTGTCCCCCCAGCCCCCCCCGGGATGTGCAGGGGCTCCCCCCGGACAGTCTGGGGCCGCTGCTCGAGGATGTCCCCAGCCCGCGGGAGGGGTCCCCAAAACCCCCGGCCGGGCCCCCCCTGCACCGTCCCGCACCCCCCCAGGATTTGGGGCGCAATGGAATCGGGGGGCACGAGTGGGGAGGGGGCTGGGAGGCCCCCTGGGAGCCGGGACCGCCCCCGGGGCAGGTACGGGGAGAGGCTGGGGGCGATGGGGGGGCTGAGATGGGGGACTGGGGGTGATTGGGGGGCTGAGATGGGGTCTGGGGGTGATTGGGGGGCTGGGGAAATGTGGGGGGCTGAGGGTGATGTGGGGGGGCCGAGATGGGGGTCTGGGGTTCTGTGGGGCTGGGGAAATGTAGGGGGCTGAGATGGGGGGCAGGGGGTTCTGTGGGGCTGGGGGTGATGGGGGGCTGGGGAAATGTGGAGGGCTGAGATAGGGTCTGGGGTTCTTTGGGGCTGGGGGCAATCGGGGGGCGCGGGGGCTGCAGGGGCTGCAGGTTTTGGGGTTGGGGGAGCTCTGGCTGTGGGTCGGGGGGGAACCCAGGGTCCTGGGGGATATTCTGGGGGCTGGAGAGGGAATGGGGGGGCAGGATGGGGGGTGGGGTCTCCTGGTGGGGGGGGGCGGATCCATCTGGGGGTGCAGAGACCCCTCAGGCCCCTCCCACTTCCCGCAGGGGGAGGAGCCCAGCGAGAGCCTCGTCCTGCACAAAGCCACGCCAGGTACCCCAAAACCCCGCCGGGAACCCCCCCAAATTTACCCCAAACCCCCCCAAATCTCACCCCCACTCTCCCCGCAGGCTTCGCGCTGCTGCTGGCCCGGGACGCCCCCCACCCACCGCTTTTGGGGGGCCCCAGCCCCCCCACCGATGACGAAGACCTCTCCCCACACGCTGTGTAATGGGGAGGGGGCAACACCTCCTTTTGGGGTGGGGGGGACCCCCTATAGCACCACAGCACACCCAAGCCCCCTCACCCCCCCCAGCACAGCCCCCACCCCCCCTTGCACCCCAAAAGAGCAGCTTGGGGAGGGGGCAGCACTCCAAGACCCCCCCACCCCCACATGGGCACAGGGACCCCCACGCCCCCCTCCCCACCCAAAATCACACACAGCAGCTGTTAAATAAATTTTAATGCAAATTATTAGTGAATATTATTAATTAGGGGGGGCCTGCCGGGGGGGGCTGTGTCCCCCCTCCCACCCCGGGTTAGAGGTGAGGAAAGCAGAGCTGGGGGGGGGGCTCTGTGTCCCCCCCACCCCGGGTTAGACCCTGAGCACCCACCCTATAGTGGGGGGGGGATCCCCAGCACCCACCTTTGTGGGGGGGGGAAGGAAACGCCCCCTCCCCCCCTTTTTGGAGTTTAGCCCTGAGCCCCCCCAGCATGGGGAGGGCAGAAATTCCAGTTTCTCCCCAAAAACAGAAGCAGGGAAGCCCCCTTCCCCCCTAACCCCCCTGTTCCCCCCCTCCCCAAAAGTGCTGGGGGGGGTCAGACCCGGGACTGGAGGGCTCTGGGGGGGTCGCGCTGGGGGGGCCCCGGGCTGCTGCTGCCGCTGCTGGAGGAGCTGGAGTGGGGCGGTTTTGGGGGGCCCCCCCGGCCTTTGAGGGTGCTGAGCCGCGCGTCCAGGGACAGGGTTCGGGGGCGGCTCCGGCGGGGGGGGCTGGGGCTGCGCAGGGGGGGCCCCTCAAAGAGCGAGAGCCACGGGGGGGGGCCCGGAGCGCGGGGAGCCCCCCCGTGCCCCGCCAGGATCTCGGTGACGGCCGCGATGTCATCCGAGGGGTCAATAGCTGGGGGGGGGGACAAGGAAAAGGGGGGTCACGGGGGGGGGTACAGGGAGTCCCAGAACCCCCCCTTCCCCCAATAGCCCCATACTCCCCCGTGGGGCTGTGGCGGGGTTTGGGGGTCCCTCTCTGCCCCCCCCCCCCCCCCCCCGTTCCCAGGGCCGTGCTGGGGGCGCTATGGCAGCACGGGGGGGCTGTCGGGGGTCCCCCCGTGTCCCCCCCGTCACCTGTCGCTGTAGTAGGAGCTGAGCAGAGCCCGGATCTCGGCTGAGACATTCTCCTGCAGCAGCAGCCCCTCGGCCGGGGGGGGCCCGGGGGGGCCCGGCGGGGCTGGGGGCGCGCCGGGGGTGGGGGGGACAGCGGCAGAAAGAGGGGGACAGAAAAAGGGGGGACAGAAAAAGGGGGGGGACAGCGAGAAGAGCAGCGTTAGGGGGCGAGCAGAGAGCAGAGAGGGGGAGACAGAGCAGAGCCCCCCCGCCCCCCGGATCGGCCCCACTCACCCGTCTGGTGGTACAGAGAGCCCTGGGGCGGCAGCGGCGCCGGGGGGCGGCGCGGGGGCGGCTCCTCGATCCGCATCAGCTCCTCACAGCACTGCTTCCACTGGGCTGGGGACAACGGGGACAACGGGGACAATGCGGGGGGGGACAGAGACCCCGGCGTCTGGGGGGGCAGGGATGGGGGCTGCAGGGGGGTGGGGTCTGCAGGGGATGGGGGTTCTGTTGGATTGGGGTTCCATTGGATGGGGTCAGCATGGGATGGGGGCTGCAGGGGATGGGGATTGAATGGGGATGGGGATTGAATGGGGATGGGGGCTGCAGGGGATGGGGTCTGCAGGGGATGGGGTCTGCAGGGGATGGGGGCTGCAGGGGATGGGGATTGAATGGGGATGGGGGCTGCAGGGGATAGGGTCTGCAGGGGATGGGGGTCCCATTGGATTGGGGTCCCATTGGATGGGGTCTGCAGGGGATGGGGTCAGCTTGGGATGGGGGTCCCATTGGATTGGGGTCCCATTGGATTGGGGTCCCATTGGATGAGGCCTGCAGGGGATGGGGTCTGCAGGGGATGGGGGTCCCATTGGATTGGGGTCCCATTGGATTGGGGTCCCATTGGATGAGGCCTGCAGGGGATGGGGTCTGCAGGGGATGGGGGTCCCATTGGATTGGGGTTCCATTGGATGGGGTCAGCCTGGGATGGGGTCTGCAGGGGGTGGGGATTGAAGGGCATGGGGGTCCCACTGGATGGGGGTTCCATTGGATGGGGTCAGCCTGGGATGGGGATTGCAGGGGGATGAGGTCTGCATGGGATGGAGATTGAAGGGGATGGGGTCTGCAGGGGATGGGGGTCTCACAGGAATGGGGGGTGCTCTCAGGACTGGTGTCCCAATGGGTTGGGGGTCCTAGGGTGATGGTCTGAGGTGGGGATCCCCCAGGGGGTCCTGTTCTTGTCCCTCTCATCTCTGTCCTACCCCATTGTTGTTCCCACCCCTGTCACTGTCCCCATCCCACTCCTCTGCCCATCTCTTTCCCTGTCCTGTTCTCAGCCTTGTCCTTGTCCCCATTGCTCTGGGGTCCCACTGGGCTGGGGGTCCTGGGGTGATGGAGCTCCCACAGGGATGGTCTGGGGTCCTGCCAGAGTGGGGGTCCCCCAGGATGAGGGGTCCCACTAGGTTTGGGGTCCTTTAACAACGGGGATCCCACTAGGACAGGGTCCCACCAGCACAGAAGGTCCCACAGGGGTTTGTAGGGTCCTACAGGGCTGGGAGGGTCCCACAGGGATGTGGAGGGTCCCACAGTGATGTGTGGGGTCCCACAGGGATGTGGAGGGTTCCACAGGGATGTGGAGGGTTCCACAGGACTGGGAGGGTCCCACAGGGATGTGGAGGGTCCCACAGTGATGTGTGGGGTCCCACAAGGATATGGAGGGTCCCACAGTGATGTGTGGGGTCCCACAGTGATGTGTGGGGTCCCACAGTGATGTGGAGGGTCCCACAGGACTGGGAGGGTCCCACAGGGATGTGGAGGGTCCCACAGGTCGGGGGGGCTCCCGGGGGCTCACCCAGGTCGCAGAGGTGCTGCCCCCAGGCCTGCAGCCAGCGCTGAGCCTCGGCCGTGCTCTCGGCCAGCAGCCCGTGTGTCACCTCCTCCCCGCCCAGCCGGTTGGTGACGGCCACCCCGGGGGGCTGCCCCCGGCCCCCCGAGTCCAGCGCCCGCACCCGCGTGTCCTGGGGCACACACAGGGCTGGGGGGGGGCGGGGACCCAGAGACCCCCAGAGACCCCACCCAGAGAGCCCAGAGAACCCCAGAGACACCCAGAGATACCCAGAGAACCCCAGAGACACCCCCAGAGACACCCAGAGAACCCCAGAGACACCAGAACACCCCAGAGACCCCCAAGCTCCCAATAAACCCCAAAGCTCCCATAGACCCCACAGCCCCCATAAACCCCAGAACACCCCACAGACCCCAGAACCCCCATAGACTCCACAGTCCCCATAGACCCCACAGCACCCACAGACCCCAGAAACCCCATAGAACCCACAGACCCCAGAGCTCCCCATAAACCTCAAACCACCCTGACCCCCCACACTCCCTCTTTCTCCCCATACCCCCCACCCCTCCATGTCCCCCCCCATCCCCACAATCCCCATAACCCCATACCCCCCACACTCCCCGTGCCCCCCCGAGCCCAGCAGCCCCCGAGTGTCCCCTGAGTGTCCCCCGAGTGTCCCCTGTGGAGTGTCCCCCGTGTACCTTGGTGACAGCGATGGTAAGGGTGGGCTCCTGCCCCGCCTCAGCCTCGCTGGCGCTGCCGTAGCAGAGCAGCCCTGGGCCCCGCAGGACACAGAACAGGGGGGTCCCGCCCGGCCCCTCGGCCCCTGGAGCCTGCCCCGAGACCCCCAGAGCCGTCAGTGCCCAGGGGGGGCACCACAGCACCAATGTGCCCCATTCTGCACCCACAGTGGCACCACAGCGCCAGTGTGCCCCATACAGCGCCCACAGTGGCACCAGAGCACCAGTGTGCCCCATACAGTGCCCACAGTGGCACCATAACGCCAGTCTGCCCCATTCTGCACCCCCCACAGCACCAGTGTGCCCCATACAGTGCCCACAGTGGCACCAGTGTCCCCCTCATTCAGCACCCACAAGTGACACATTCCCTATATCCCATTTTTCTATCCCATTTCTCGATCCCATTCCCATATCCCATTTCCCTATATCTCATTTTTCTATCCCATTCCTATATGCCATTTCCCTATATCCCAGTTCTCTGTCCCATCCCTATATCCCATTCCTATATCCAATTTCTCTACCTCATCCCTCTATCCCATTTCCCTATATCCCATTCCTCTATTCCATTTCTCGATCTCATTTCTCGATCCCATCCCTATATCCCATTTCCCTATATCCCATTTTTCTATCCCATCTCTCTATCCCATTTCTCAATCTCATTTCTCAATCCCATCCCTATGTCCCATTTCCCTATATCCCATTCCTCTATCCCATTTTCTTATATCCCATTCCTCTATCCCATTTCCCCATATCCCATTTCCCCATATCCCATTTCCCTATATCCCATTTATCCCATTCTCCTACGTGCAGTTGCAGTGTCCTCTTTATCATGGCAGCGTTAATAAACCCCATCCCTCTATCCCATTCCTGATCCCATCCCTCTCTCCCATTTCTCAATCCCATCCCTATATCCCATTTCCCTATGTCCCATTTCTCTTTTCCATCCCTATATCTAATTTCTCTATCCCATGCCTTGATCCCGGTTCCCTATATCCTATTTTTCTATGCCATCTCTACCCCATTTCCCTATATCCCATTTCCTATATCTCTATATCCCATCTTATTCCTCTATCCCATCCGTCTGTCCGATCCCTATATGCCATTTCTCTATCCCATCCCTATATCTCATTTCCCTATGTCCCATTTCTCTGTCCAGTCCCCTATATCCCATAACTATATCCCATTCCTCTATCTCATTTCTCTATCCCATTTCCTTATATCCAATTTCCCTATATCCCATTTTTCTATCCCATCTCTCTATCCCCTTTCCCTATATCCCATTCCTCTATCCCATTTCTCAATCTCATTTCTTGATCCCATCCCTATATCCCATTTCTCTATACCCCATTTCTCTATCCCATCTCTCTATCCTATTTCCCTATATCCCATTTATCCCATTCCCTTCTCTGCAGTTGCAGTGTCCCCT